GCTTAACCATCTCTATCTCACTGCATGGCATTCGTCTCGCTCCAGAAGATCGGCGAACGAAAGTTCTGTGAAGCCGTGATGTCGATGGAGTTGCATGCCCCGCTTGCATCATCGTGATCCCAATTGCGCGACCCTAGCGAGGATTTTAACACGTAGCGCGGGTTAATCGTTACCGAAATCTTGTATAATCGATCGATATTAATTATCGCGCGCTTTCACTAGATGACCTTTATAATCAGCTATGAGAGACGTTTCAGTGCAATCAATCATTGTCATCCTGAAAAAATATAATTGGATTCGCCGTAAGACATGCAACAGTCGAATTCTTCCAGAAATTATTCGCAGCTAATACACTGTTAAACATTAAGGAATGTTTTTTCCTTAATGTGTTCTTTATAAGATAGCTATGTGGTAGAATATAACTCATAAGTACACATGATATTTGTTATGTACGTGCCTTCTTTTTGTGCCGCGTTTTCATTCTAGCATCACTGTCCTGGACACAAATACCGCGGATGATGCTCACCGGATCCTTCATTGAGAAAAAATCGTGAATTGCGGGCGTCGCGAGACGACCGCAAATCGCGCCAAGAACAAACAAAGGGATACTTGATCGCTTGCAAACGAGTTTCGCGGCCAATTATAAATTAAATCGAATTAAATCGACGGCTACCACCACATCGTCGCTAGAAGGCGGACCTTGGCGAAAACTCCCCCGCTTTTTACGATCACGCGTATGCGCAAAATCTTTTACGGCGACGCGCGTAATTGCAATGTGGCGAGGAGAGTGATAAACAACGCTCGCTCGCTCCCTCGTTCCACGACGCGACGGGGCGGGCTGGCTCTCTCGCTCGGTTTTCACTCGCTCTCGTGCGCGTCGGATTTATCGGCATGCTTAATTGCTGCCCGAGACGAAAGTCAGCCTCGAAACACGGGTCCGCGTACCTTTCGTCGTGCTTTTTCTGACGCGTCGAAGTTGCCTGGTGTATTCTTATCCAGTGCCCCCGCTAAGTTATCCTCTTGCAACTCATAACTAGAAACATTCTCAGATTATTATTTATCTCTTAGAAAAGAAAATTCAAATAAAATGGATAATTTCTGATTATCAATCCTTTACAATTCTTAAGAAATATTTCAATGTGTAAAAATTTCTCTTCCTTCTGACATTAAACTTTGCAAATGTTACTATTATAGAAGTGTTTACATCAATTTTTTATTTGTCAATTTAATTATTACAAATAGCTACAATAGATTTTATTAATGAATTTAATATAAAAAAAGACAAGATAATTTTTAAAATTTTTATTTCCAATTATCGGACTTCCAGAAGCCACTGCATATTTTTCGATCTTTTCATTTTCTCGACACGCCACGCCGCAAGCGTCGACTCTGGCCTCTTTCGCCCGTGTTCAGAGAATTACGAGCTTCCAGACTGATTATTAGGTCTCGAAGATTTAAGACGGTGTTTTAAATACTTGGGCAGTAACATTGAATTCATTCCGTAATGAAAGAGCGTGCCGATTTCTTTGTCCCGCTGTTTAACATTCGTCCGCGCGGCCCGTTGGACCCCGAGGACATTAACCCACTAACTGGAAGATTACTTTTTTTTTTATACGCACAGCGTCGTTTGTGTGCCTTCAAAGGAGACCATAATTATCATATCTTGCGGTTTCAGATGTTGTGATATTTCGGGAGAATTTATGACCCCGTTTTATGCGTTGAAAGAGAATTTAATAAGCGTTTAGAATGATACTCGATTCGCGTATTATAATTAACGTATTATGACGTTGACCTAGTTAGAAAACATGATAAATAATAACATATTGGACGTAACAATTAGAATGACAGAAAAACATAAATTTTAGGCTTGAGAGAGAAAGAGAAGATTGCTTGGACGCATAAAGGCTTTTTTATCATACAAAATTCTTTTCCTATATTAATATAAATACTATGTTACAAAATTAATTTTTTACAATCATTACCAATAGTAACGTTGTTGTTAAAAATTAAGTTGTAAATGTTGTGTCGTTATTAAGCAATTTTGATGTTCAAATTCAATCTACATATAGCGCACTCCTAGAAGAATACTGTCACAAAGCAAAAAATTCTATTTTGAGTTAAGCCTATATAAAAAATATGCCAAAACGTTACCTACGTGCTATAATAGTGTCACAAGTCTGTAATCTATATGCGAAATCCGCTGCACGAGGCAGAAGTGTCGTTACTCTTTTAAACCGGTTATGTTGCGATCGCTGGATGAATAGTGTCATAAGTAAATTGACAAGTAAATCGCAGCAGACCTTTTCAAGAAACAGTACAAGTCTCATTATAAAACAAAATATCGTAATTGTAATTGCATTATAGTTATCTCACAATTCAAAATTGTTTTTCCTCTCTCCTGAAAATTGTGAATTTTTGAGTTGTGACAGTATTTTTCTAGAGGTGCGATATATTAAATACTCAACCGTGCTACAGATTTTCGGCCTCGGAAATGATTCTCTCTCCCTCGAAACATTATGGATTTAACATCGGGGGAATCGAAGAAGTAACTTAATGAACGCAATAAATTACGGGTGTACAAATATAACGATCGTAAGCTTAATATCGATATACTGTTTTCTAAACCGGTATACCATGGGATGGATCAGACGGGGAGGGGGGAATCGGGCAAGGGGGGGATCCGCCGCATTCTGTAGCGCCAATTTGCATGACCGATGATCGGGCCGCTACTATATGCCAGTGACTAGGTGCATCATCATTACGCACTACTGAGATACGATCAAACTGTCGGTAATAACAGTCGCACGACCCCGCGCGCGCAGACGAGAGAGCAGGGTCGCGTTTATTAAATTACGTCAAATTATTGGTACGCGTCGGGGTATCCGGTCGAGGCCTAAACATAGAATACCCTCGGCCTCGCTGGTTGTTTAACAGTGAGCAATCACGCTACTTTCCCAATTAGACCGCTAATTTTATCGGGAAGCGTGTAATTGCCGCGCTGAGCCAAATTCGCGTGTAATATGTTCAGCGCACTTTCCCAGAGAACCGCTTAATTATCGGTCAATGGCTAATCATGCATGAGTGATGTGGAATTAAGTTATCTTGCTGCGTCCCAATTATAAAAAATTGATGCACCGCTTTGGAATATTAACCCTAGAATCCATGATACATTTTTTTGACCTTCTAATCCATGACTGGGGGCAATATCGACCCCACGCTTTATTTGATCGTAAAACCGGTCCTACAGAAATAAAGGGCCTTTAAACCTACATGAATTTCTTCGTTTTTTAATAACGAAGAGAATGGTATACGGTAAATTTAATTTTGCTCAAGTTTAGTTAGTGAAAAATCCATTTAAAGACTGAAAAACGCAGAAAATCAGCAAAAACCTCTTTTTTTAAACAAAAATTTGTATCTTTTTTTGTAATCAACCGATTTTAAAATTTCAAACGGGGTTTTAAAGAGGACACATTAGACTATTAGAAAAAAATTGTCATCGCTATGTTCTGTTCAAAAAGTATATTTATTTGGGACTATAAAGATGAAGAAATTCGCAAAGTTGAAATACGGAAAAAGTCGATGAAAAAACCATAAAAAATTGTATTTTAAGTATTATTTCATTTTTATTTGATACAAAATAGTAAAAAATATGAAAAAAATGAAACATTATATCGCCCAGCCATTTTCTGCGAAATGTCAATCTTCTTAGGCAACGGGATTTTTACCGACTAAATTGTGTGATATTTCGTCTTAAATAATATTTATGACTATTTATGCTCAGATTACGTAATAATACATGATATATATTGATTCTAGCGAAAAAATAAAATTAGCTTACCGTGACGAAACTCAAACGGCAAGTCACGACTGGGGTCGATATCGACCCCACGCCCGCTTTACGACTGTGCTACTTCACTGCTAGCGAACAACTAACGCTGCGCCCGACATAACCCTACTTTTAGAAAGTTGAAATGAATTATGGTTCAGGTCCTGAGTCGATAATGTCACTCGCTAGCTCAGGAGCGTAGTTCAAAGTTCGCCTGGGGTCGAAATCGACCCCAGTCATGGATTCTAGGGTTAAGTACAGCGTTTTGTATCAAAGGTCTTTAGTAGATTGTTTTATTTTTATCTGAAATTTAAGTTTTTTATTAGGTCAGTTTATAATTGTAAAACTCAAATCTCATCTAAACGTGCGTTTTTAGCGCTACTTGTTATATCTTGAAACTTAAGTTAGATTTCATTTACATACACGATCATTCCACTCCTTTCCTGAGTACAATCTCAGTTGAATTTTAATAAAAATGTAACTTTTCATCCAGCCATATATCTCACAATCAGAATATAAAATTCTGTTTATAAATATTTTACCCGATATACTCTCGAGGTTCAAATAACGATTATAAATACGGCCCTAAGTTATTGCCGAAGTGACACTTTCAATTAACGACGCCATAAATATCGAAGTATAATTTCCATTTATTCATCCGGGTAACGTTCCGCATGTATCGTGTTTTATTACCGGCAGTGCGATAACTGTTCATCAGCGGTCAAGATTGAAAAAGGCACAGTTCGTAAAGTGTCACATGAAATTTTCAATGACATTTCATGCGCCAAAATATATGTCTTGCATCTATATATATCTCATATACCTAAAAGACTTTTTTAACATAAAATTATTAACATAGAGAAGACTGTTGTTTTAATTAAATTTTAGTTATGTGACTGTATTTCACTTTCACTACCATTCTTTGTCATATTCCATAAATCTCTATCTTTAAAAAATACTTTATAAATGATTGAATTAATATGAAATTGTTACGTGATGCGTTCCAAGAAGAAATGGATCGAATCTGTGAGATTCAAATATAACTTTATATTTAAGATAAATCTTATTATGGACTCAACTCTCCGTTTGAATACATCGTATTAATTTTTCTAATACTTACATTAATTTATATTTCAAGCATACACAAATGTGGTTGTTTTAATTCTGCTTGCAGATTCGACCGACGAAGGGCTGAAGAAGGCAAAGAGCGGTTCAGATGAAGAGCCGTGGATCTCCGGCGTCGTTCGTTCAACTAATCAAAATTCGTAACAGGAGCTCAAGGGAGAAGAATAGAAGGACGCGATGCATTTCTGCCAGCGATTCCGCCATTCTTTCAGCATTAATATATCGCAGCTGCGAAAGCCATTCAAACTCGTCGTCCGCCACACGACTGCATGTATATACATGCTGTACACATGCATACACACATACTCACACCCACATAAACGTCACATATGAAAGACCCAAAAGCCTGATCAACGCCGCGTACTTCCTGTGATCGTCGATTAACGATAAGTGGAATAATCAAAAATAGCGACGCAGCGGAAGAGGATATGTTCAGGTCACGAAAAGAGGAGCGAATTACTAGAATGTTCTCGTATAGAGAAAGGCGACGCCGTGTTATAAAGAGTATCGAGATCGGTATCGAAACGCGACGAAGCATAAATAGTGGAAGCCGATATTTCGTAAGATCCCAAGTAACAATGGTCGATCTTCCGGTACGTATAACATACATAATCTAATCTATATAAAACAGATCCGTTCATAAATCAGAAATCCTGCATAATGACCGCGCAAATATTTTTCCTACCTAGAAAATTGAGGATTGATATTTAGCACGGTTAAAATTAACCCTACGACGAAAACATATCGCTTGATATTGTTTTGCATATTTCGTTTACCTTGTCTTCGTCTCGTTGCGGAAAAGGAAGGATTTGTCCAATTTTTAGTTAGAGATGGAAAAATATTGGCAGTATTTATATTTGCGTATCATTTTCCTGGCGATGCAAATTTCTTTCTCAGTAATCAGATACGTAAAAAATTATATCTCAAATGAGATAAATTTTAAACAAAAGTATAGGTCAATTATTTGATAAAATGACGAGTATTACAAATTATCGATATAATCCATGCTATTGTAATATAATAATGCAATATATGTTGTCTTTTTTATAATAATGTTGATATTTTTCAATCTCCAATACGTATTAAAAAAGATAAAGAATTTGTCACGGAACTATACCTTCGTTACTCTTTGTCATCGATTGAGAATGGGAACCGGAAAGTCGCGAAGAGGGTCGGAATCTACATGCCGTATGTAATCGCGCATTGTCCGAAAAGCTAACACGATTTGCGCACGCGTGAATCACGACATTCGCCTCGTACACGAGTAGTAGATTCATTTTATAAAGAGACGCGCCGTCAGAAGGGATTGCGGTCTGGCGAGCCGCGTAGTTAAGGATACGAATGCCATAATAATGACCAAGTTTTTATGGTTGTACTTAAGTCATACTTTATACTCTACTTTACTGTTTAAGGATGTTTTAAGCGTAAGTTACTTCATATTTCCATTATTAAAGTGTCTCTATTACAGTTATCGCTACCGTTTTACTTTCGCGTCGTCGGGCTGAATGGCGAATCGACGTCATTTAGCGCTGATCGTCGAGAAAAATTGGTAGAAGTTATGAAAATGTAATACCGCCTACCTGCACTTGTGATCGTATATCTAACTTGAATTCGAGAGAATAAACTGAATGCTCGTAATCTGTACATCGGACCTTTCAACATTACGATCAGATAAATAAATTTTTCCACGCTTTGTATATCGCCTCGGCAATAAAGGAAGATCTGATGGCAATCTTTATTAAATAGACAAGGAAGATATCAATTAATATATCAGATTAGATGAATTGGGCGACTAAATTTTTTATTTGCCGCTTAAATACGGCAAAAAACACTTAAGCTTATGCTTTTCTATAAAATTCTGTCGAACGTAATTAACAGGACAGTTTGGAAAAATGTCTGAGCGCTTGGTTGTTCCCTGTTTCGTATATGTTGGATTTTTTAGACTTTTATTTTGCGAACTCAATTTTCATACTGTGCGTTAGGAGCCAAGTAATGTTGGATGAAACATCATGAAATTATATATTGTACTTACTTCCATCGCAAGGTTAGAGAAGCCATCAACAGATATCGCCTGCGATCGCATGGACGATAAGGAACAGACTCTCATTAAAAGTCAGGTGCGAGACCACCTCTCGGTTGATGGTCCCGACCAAAGGACGCGTTTGGACCTTGGTCTCATTTTTGTGATTATTTAATACACGTTAAGCAAACAATAGAATAGGTGAAGCCTTGTTATAATTGAGTATATGAGAATAGCCGTTGTACTAGCCTTACAGAGACGATGCCATTCTGCATTCAATAGCGGAAGAAGCGCAATAATTACGACAATTATCCGAGGATATTTTAATTACGCTCATATATATAATAATTAAATTGTTTATTCAAGAGCACTGACAAACTGTTTTCAGTTATCAGTAAGAATGAAGCTCTTTCGGAAGAAAAATTGGAAACAAGTGGCCTTCTTCAAAAAGATAATTTACGAGAGCTGAATGAGAATAATCAGGATACATTCGTTACAATGAGCTAGCTATATTACAATGTGTACAATAAGTTTTTAGATTTATAATACGAAGTATAGATTCTATTATCATGATATATTATATCGCGTAATGAATTTGTATAGAAGGCACTCGGTCCCCTTTACGACAGAACTCTGTGTGTTATAAGCGTGTACCGAGCGAATACGCTTATTTCGTATGTCGATGTTCTCGGAGAGTATATAATTTTGCCATGACGACGAGCGCCGAAAGAACCTACAGCGGGGAGCTTGTAATAGCGATATCACGCGTTTTGCGCGCAGCTAGAATCTATTTTTCTAGTTCCTTTGGGGCATTGGATGTCAATGGATCTCCATGCGAGCGATCGATTGCTTTCGAATAACGCGAGACCTGGCCGTTTTAGCCGTTCTCCCTTGCATAAAAAGGCAAAATGATAGCAACTAAAGCGAACAGATCTGTGCTATAATTACACGATCGGCTCAGCGATATCACTTCAACATCGTTCTCGCGGCGAAATACTCAGCGCGTAAGGGTCGAGGATCGTTGTGCCTTCGTGTATGCACGTTAAAAGTACGTTTAATGATTGTAAGAAGGGCAGACATCCACACTTTGTGATTCCATAAGCAGTTGTTCATTTTTTTATACTTACTTTAATGCTTACCTAGGATAGAGCTTGTGTACCCTAAAGAGTGTTTCAATAAAAATCATAATGAAATAAATCCGCTGCGTTGTGCTTATATTTTTCTCTCTCTCTCATAAAAAAATAAAGGATCCTTTTTTACCTCTCTTTTGCAGCTCCTAGTAATTTATTGATTTATTATTTATAATTTATATTATATAATATATCAATATATTAGTAATAATGTCTTTAGTTATATACACTTTTTGCTATCAATTTATACACTTTAAACTTTGAGCAAAAAGTTCTTTTTTCTTAATCTTGCGAGGAGATTCGAAAGGAAAAGCTCGTAATAAATATTTCGATAAATTATCGGTGGACTTATCGTAAATAAAATAAATCGCAATCATTGAATATACTGTTGCACAAAAGTCGCACGTATCGAAATCCAATTTGCTTTATTAGTATATCACAGGTAGGGTTTTATACAAGGGACGAAACAAGCGGATAACATGGTTTATTACTTTTTTTTTGTATTCAAGGTATTTCGAATGAATGTTACAAGCAATAATATAATCAAAGGTAATGAATGAAAAGCGATGAAACTAAAGTCAAATATTACACCTTTTTCGGTATTGGTCACATTACCTCATCTTCGAATGATTTTTTTTCGCATTTACCATCTTTTTCTCTTTTCCATTTTCTCTTTTTTTTATGATTTGTACTTCTCTTGGCGCAATCTCTTGGCTCTCTGGCTTCTAAGGAACCAGTCGATTGCTTTCCAACGTCGACAGATTTGCGAGGTTTATTATACTTTATCGTATAATGAGAGAGATATTCAGGAACGATGCCACTTGATTCACAGAAATTCTTAAAAAGGAGAATTGTCACGCGGGAGATCACGTTTATTAAACGTTGCCTTGTATCAACGTAGTTTCGCGTATCTATAATCAGTCGAATAAATGCTGGCAGACTTTCCGAGCTATGAAAAACATTATTTTACGCAACGTGAATCGAATGCTAAAAGATTCTTTTATAGGCGAAGGGAAATGAGATGGAGGAAGAATCGGTGATAAACGTCGATCTCCCGCTCGTTGACAAGTACACACGCGAATTAAATGGTGTAAATCACGTAAAGCAACAACAGAAACGCGTAAATCAGGCCGCATCGTTGCGATAACGACGGTTAAGCGATATCGTTCGCCGTCGTTATATATTCCGCTTAATAAAATCTTGTTGATTAAGATAACGAAACGCTAGTTACAATAACTTTTCTAATTAACGATTATTTGGTAATATACAAAGTAGTAGAAAAGAGGGAAAAGCAAGTCCGTCTCCCATCTCGTAGATTTTTCATCGTAAATACAAAAACGTAACGCGTAGTATCTAAAAGTATGTATGTGTTCCAGGACGTCTCGAATATGTTCTGATCGCGCGGAAGAGTCTTTCGGATCGGACATGATTAGCGCAAATCAGATTTATTACGCAACCCGCCGATAATTCTCGACTTTCCTCCAGAATTATCGTGATAAGCGAAAAAACGATATTTTATCTTCACTGGAAAAGAAAGTAAAACACATCTCATTGGCCTGGAAAATTTGTCGATCAGCCAATCACTTAGCTGAATGACAGATGGTAAATTTTTTATCGTGCCTTTCTCTGTACCGCCGACTTTTAATTGTGTCAAAATTTGACACGTGCGACCGTTTCACGAGAAAAGACCGGAGATGCTGGAAACGCGTTCTCGAAAATCCCGAGCGCGAAATGACAAAGTTCTCGCGAGCTATATACGTCGAAAACTTGTCCGCGCGATCGTCGCCGTCGCGTCGTGGAACTCACGCTTTAATCGTATGCGTACCGCTGTACCTGTAATATTCCTTCCTTTTTTTTAAATGTAATATATCGTTATAATGTTCGTGTAACAATAAAGCAATATGCAAATGGTATTGAAGACTTCTCGTTCGGAGGTGGCTGCTTGTGTTAGCGCGTTCCGTGCATTCGCGCAGAGGAATTCCATTAGTTCTAAGACACTTCGCGCTCTTTCACGTATCTTTGTCTAACGCATTTTCTCACTCTCTCGCTATCTCTTTCTCTCCCATGTCCGCTCTCTCGCTCGGTTTTGCCCGACTAAGGTAATCTCGCTATTATTCGCTATTAATGCGCCGCGACAACTCTGGAGTATCACTCTCCGATTTATTTCATTGTATCAATCTTAAAGTGTATATAACTGATCTTTTTGTTGATGATCAATAAAAGAAAACTTTTGTTGATAATCAATAAAAAAAAAGTAGAAGGTAAATATGACATATTTTGCATTGATATTTGCATTGATGAAAGTGCTATAATAATTTTATTTCAATTTTATTATTTAAATGATTGCTGAATGAATTATTTGTTAGTAATTTTTATTTTTGTTATTGCGGCACATTTTCGCGTATAATGACCACCTTCAGTCATTTTCTTCTTTCAATAAATTCAGAATAATCATGCATGGCAAAGTACCAATCGAGAATAGAAATAGCAGATAAGAGCCGAATATATCGCTTCGCGCATGTTTCTCTCGAAAGGAATCCTGTAATACAGGGTGTCGTCGAAATATCGGGTGTCCTTTTAATCAAGTTTCTCGGCCAATTTAGGGTCCATTTTTGTTTAGACAAAATATCAGGAGAGTTCATAATTTTCGTACTTCTCCACAATCCTCTAATCTCTAATGATAAAACGTTACATTAAATTAAACTAATCGCAAAATATGTTTTTGCCCACTTATTTGCCTTCCGAGGATTATTTTGCGAAAAGCATTTCATTTTCAATCGCTAATAACTCTCGGAAGCCTCTTTCCCGCTCAAATTTTCTTTGAGAAAATATCGATTCCAAGGAATGCCCTGGATCAAGGACGCCCTGTATAATATTGGCGATTTCCTCCAAGTTCTGAGTTAGTACCCGATTCGGGCTCTCAAACGCCTTAAGTCGCCTTAGCACGAAACCTCCGCTTTCTTTTCCAGCCGCATCCGATATCTCTCTTCTATTTCTCGTACGATAGTAATCATAATTCTTAACGCTATCCGCCGACCCGAACGAATTATGTGGATCGTTCCCCGTCACAAATACTGACGAGTATACTTCCGATATTCGCTCGAGTCGCCGCGATGCAGTCGGCGTTCTTATTATTTTACGGAGCTTAATCGACGAAAATCTTTCTCGCACTCTCACTCGCAAAAAATCGACGCATTCTTTTTCTCAATTCATCTCTTTCTCTCTCTCTCTTTCTTTCCTTTCCTTCCTGGCACTCTAAATGACTACCTAGTTTTCCTATCGCTTCTCCGATCGTTTCTAGCGTCGTGACACGCCTCATTTTTGATATCCCCTTTTATTTTACGTAGCATACGTAATTAATACCAATGATCGACACACAAGACTGTTTACTCCTTGGAGAATTCATGTTTTTGATTCTTAAAGATAAGCATAAGGGGGGAGGAAGCAGAAATATATTAATAATTAGAAACTTAACTGTTTAAAATCTCGATTAGTTACTTTATGTTATTCTAATTTCTCTCTTCTCGTACATAGAATTTTTTCTCAATAAAATTTATATGTGTAATTATATTACACGCGTTTCTGACGAATTCTTAAAATCTTTCACAGCGATATTGGATGCTGATAAATGAGCGAGTATTTTGCGAATTTCTTCGTTTGGAGAAATTCACATATATATAATTCCTGCAAGTTCACCCTCTTGCACCAAATATACTTGTTGAGAAAATCGTATATTGTTACTCGCTCATCGGCTATAAATAAATAACGCGGATAAAATGAGATATCCTCGCGCGAAAATATCAATACGTATTTTGTTGAACGTTATTCCCTTTCTTTCCCGGCTTCCTCGGAAAGAAATTTTAAACAGTTTTTCTTTCCGGTTATATATGGATTCCCATATTTCGACTTTCGACAGGGGCGATTAACGATCGTGTTCATAGTGCAATAAATTATACGATTTGTGCGATCTCTCACGTTTCAGTATCTAGGATACTGAGGAACGCGATATACGCCTCTTGGCAATGCTCGATCGCGCAATTTTTTTGTCTTACACTAGTCACTAATTGATACTTGCACAGCGATTTATTCGCAAATAATATTAATTAATCATAATCGTAAGAATAACCATAATTACATATAATTAAATCATAGAAATACATCACAGAGAATTATATCTTTTTTTTCCCTTCCATTTTATATTACCGATTCATACACAGACTCTTCTCTTAGAATAAATTGTCAGTCAACCAAACTCGTTAATCTCTCGCCGTTAATCTTCGTCTCGAATCGGTCTCCGAGTTCATTCTTTTATCGGGACGTACGATCAACACAATCCTACGGCCAATTTATAGACTGCGTCGTGTCTCCGGCTAACGTCAAGGAACGACGTCGTCCTCTCTCGCGGTAGAACTTGGTGACAGAGATTTGGATTTTACAGCCCAAGAAGACTTCACGCGGAAGGATTACACGCGGTCGTCCCGTTCTCTCTTACAGACGTTCGTACATTCACTCCAGTGATGGATTCAAAAATTTCAAAATGATGAGCGATAAAGACTCGAGATGAAAACAAAAAAGTGTCGAGCAATATCTCTTAGATAATTCAATTCTATATTTTTTCTATGTGACGTGTATTTCTCTAGACATTTATTTCATTCTTTTATTTTTTTCAGAGAAGGTATTCTTTCAACTACGTTTTCATTTCGAATCTTTAATTGAAATTTATGATTGCCTCTTGAATATTTATTCTTCTTCGCGTCGCGTTACCGAGATTTACGGCTATTCATTAATAAGTACAAATTTTCAAGAAAGGAATAGTTATGAGGGAGAATTTATAAAACGATTTTCAAGGGTGACAAATGAGCTCATTTGCGTCAGTAAATCCGCCACTAAATCACGCAACACACTCGGTCACGCATTCATCTCCCATTTCCCTCATTCGCTCTCTCTCTCTCTCTCTCTCTCTCTCTTTCTCTCTCTCAGATCGGCTTAGTCCCGGTCAATTACAACTATTTATTACGAACGAGTACACTCGAAACTCAATGGCAGTCTGTTCTTGTGGTGTGGGCGGCGTTTACGACGTGCGGACGACATTCGCTTCGTCAGGCAAAATCGCGTTTATCGGGAATGTGAACGCACGCGGCAAACGCGGCTTGAACTTGAGGAACTTTTGCATTCTTCTTTTTTCTCAATCGCGTTTAGTCTCCACTTTTTTCTTAATTATTATTAATTAATTGCGCTCACCCCGATACCCTCGTCGGTGTCACGGCTCTCTTGTCTCAGTCTCGAGAAGTTATTCTCCTGTGTTTCATCAGTTTTGTAAAAAGAAGAGATACTCGATACTACATCGAGGATGCTCCTCGTATTGCGTCAGGCTATCGGTTGTCTACACATAGAAAAAAGCGCGTATTCTAAAGAGAACGATCCCCACCTCTCCTTCTCTTGTTCTCACTTTTTTGCTTAGAAAAGCTAAATTGCTTTGTGGTCATTGTCAGAGATGAAACGATGACTTTATCCGTTGGATAGATATGTGACTATAGAAAACTCGTGCAACAATTGAAGGATTCATTGTCAGTGCAGTAATTGTCTAAATCCATTTTCTTAAGAATCATCTTTCTTTTTCTCGTGACGCAATGTCTCATCCGGTTTATCAATTTCAGCTCATCTAATTCTTTAATTTAAAGTCATTAGCAAACGTGCCTTTTATACCGTTTCCATTTTCTTTGAAAATTGAATGCGAAGGTAAAAATTAGATTGATGACATTGTGTTAAGGTTAAAAAAGAAAACGATATATTCTTAAAAAGTTTGAAAGACTATTACTGCACTTGGCAACCCTGGAATTCTTTGACTTGCGTAGACAAATAGTAACTTCGAGTGATGAACGTGAAAAGATTCGTCGACTCGGTTCGTCCGTCTGTTAGATTTATTCGATTGCGCTGTTTTACCACCGCCCTTGCTAAAATTGTATTTTTTATGAATCGTAATACGTTCTATTTGAAATCAGAAAAATTCCGCGATTAATTATCCGCGGATAGCCAAATTTTCATTGATTGAGATTCATTATTTTTCACAATTACGACGATTCGAGCCTAATTTAGTCGAGTTATCTCGCGTATTGTGTAAATTGTGAAATACCAACGGGTAGATTCCTCGACTGAAATCTTAATGGAATAGACGATCGAACACTTTTTAAATTCGAATTGACTATTATTAGTGTAAAAAGATGGTCTGTAAAGGAGCCACGTGTTATTTTTTTTTTTTTCCGGTAAACCTCTCCTTTCTTTTCAACTGGACGGTCCATGGAAATTGTAAAACTGGAGTAATACATCGCGTGTTTGCAATATGAGCGATATATCAATATTTGTAAATTCCAGTGGCCAATTTTTACTCGACAATAATTCAATTACACTCGTTTATTCTATGTCCTGTATATGATTTTTTAAAATTTTTACGAAACTCGATTTCCTAATAATTAGACTAGTATATTGTTACATTAATAATTGAAATAGACAAATTGCAAATTCTTTATCCACTTCTCGTTATCACATACAACGCGATGCATTGCTGTATCATATTAATCCTCTGTATCGGTCTTGCACTATGAAACTCTAACAGGATTTTTTTATTTGGTCGACGTTATGCTTCTCTTATTCTTAGTCGTGTTATAATATTAAGTTGTCTAGTTGTCTTCAATGCCTTTAAAAAAAACAAGAGTGTATCGGTGAATTTCTCGAGCTTCTCGAGTAAAGCATCTCGTTTAGTGCGTATTTGATAGTTGGTATATTTTCTCGACATTTTTCAGATAACGTTAATTACTGAAAATGTCATTACGTATTTCAGGCAATTTCATTACTACTCGCGGCGCTAACCACACGAGTTTAAGATCACTTGCGAGAAATGTAACAAGTCGCGAAAAGAAAAAATGAAAACTAAACTTCGAAAGAGATAATTTGACACAAATTTTACTAATTAGATTTCTATCCTTTGACAATTAGTTACATACTTCTCACTCAATGTTTGTCATTAAAATTGATTTCCTTTGAAGCGACGTTACGTTAGGTATGCATTCTGCTATCAATCAACATTAAATAATGCGAATGCGGAAATTCAAGAAGTACGTAAATAAATGTTACAAAAGACAGAAATAATTCAAGATTAAAATTATTTCGAGCCGGTATGTAACGTCATTTTTTCGTCATATTTTAAAAAATTATATCTTCAGTCGCCTTCAAGACTCTCGCGAGGATGTAAATGAGCTCTGCTTGTCTGGTCATAATACCAACTCTCTCCCTCGTCCTCTCAATTCAAGTTAAACGAGAGCTACGCTGGAAAAATACGATATACGAATGAATTCTTCAGTCGCAGCTCTCTTTTCTCAATTTCTGTGATATTGACGATAATTGTTATATTGCACGTCTTTGGTTCACCACGCGCCGCGTGAGCCCGGATCATTCTTCAGTCGACGGATACGGAGTTTCGATATGATTTCAAGTCCAGTCAAAATGTTTTGTTTAAGAAGAAAAAAAGAAAAAGAAATGTATTTCAAGAACTTGAAAAAAAAAAGAAATATCTTTTCGGCGCACTACAAATTACATCTACGCACACTCACACTTCCACATCCTTCTTTCTTTTCTTCCGCTCGCAAATTCACGCCAAGAGAACGCTCACGCTACTCAGTTCTGTTCCTGAAAAACGACTTCTGGAATCTGTCGTTATCTACTCGTTACCACGCTATTTTATACGCACGATCTACATAACCGTCTAGTATTCTCTTGTGTTCACGCACTCCCTATTCCTTTCTCTCTCATTCTCGTCCCACTCGTCTTTCTACCAAATCTATCTACTTATTTACTTCTCTGTTGTACATTCTTCCGCCAGTACTCTAACGCTTTTTATGGTTTTACGCTATATACATCTTTCCTGGCGGGCCCGTGGCGAAAGAGAGCGCGATGCTGACCCGATTAAAAAAATAATTACTCGATTTCGCGAAACGTTTTCGTCGCCGAATTTTAATATATATCTTTTTCGATATATTTATAAAATATGTGAATTATTATTGAATTACGGAGCATTACCAGGTTATAATAAGAATAGAAGACCGCTATATGAAGCTGCTAAGCTTAACAGAATTGAAGAAGCTAAGTTGTTGTTACATTATACAATGCTGACAGAGATCGGTATAGCAAAAAAGCCTATGTATGTGTACACACCTTATCGTAGCCACAAAGAATACTTTAAAAATAGCCTTGTTGCGTAATCTTAATTTGATGCAGAGACTACTACTATAAGTCCAATGAGATGCGAGAGCTTCTGATGGGATACCAAAAACTCCGCCCGAAAAGGTATCGGACCTTAATCAAATGCTAGATACATTTACTCATACATGTGACAAATTTGTGATTCTTGCGTCAAACGCGCTCCAGAAGGCGAACGGGTACGATGTCGGCGTCAATTAGTTCCTTTCCTTTTTTAAATTTCTTCTTTTGGACGCGAATACCCGAAGACTGTGTGTAAAAGACACTATTCTAATATCGCAGACATTCCGAGACGTCCAAAAGTCATCCCGATCTTTCAAAGAAGAAAAGTTTGAAAGACGAGTTATCCCTGTCTCCTTTTTTAAAACTCTTTTATACCGCTCGAGTTTTCTCCACTCCGGCGCGTTTCCTTTATCCCGAAAGAAATTTCGCTACTTCCCTCCACGACGTAAATCCGTGGTCTTCTGAAGACGATCGATTGAGTTAATCTCGGCGCCACTCTCAGTCGCCATTTGCCACGACGTGTACAAATTGGGATTAATCTTAAACAGTATAAAGTCCTCCTCGTCGCTCTCGTGATCGCACGCGCGATTCGCACAGCCACGCTCTCGCAATTCCCAAAGATCGGCTGTCACTTTTTTTCATCCTTCTTACACATCCACACTTTCTATCACCCTTATCAACACCCTTACGTTACTCTATCAGCGACTTTCTTTAGCAGTTAAACCGTATCCTGCAAACTGTTATTCTTTTCTGTTTTTCAACGAAGCTGTAGAGAAGTTATAGGAGCCATAGTATTATATATATACACATACATACATATATATATGCATATGTGTATATATATATATATATATTTATTTATTTTTATACTTTATATGTATATATTCAACGATAAAAAAGATTCGATCGAGTCGATCGAATGTCCGTGTCACCGTGACAGACAGTGACAACTCTTTCCTCACGAAACGTGTGATCTTCGAGCGGCCGTTTAATCTATCGCTAGTTACAATCCCAATGGAACTTCTTTACGTTGTGTCTCTCTCTCTCTCTCTCGTGGATGAGATACCCCGTTCGAAGATCAACCTTTCGAGTCTTCACCCTTAAAACTCGCGCAAACGTATCGACATTTAAAATTTTCGATAAAGATTTCTCAAATTCCTTCGCGCATCGTGACGCACGTGTTGCAACTGATTTTAAGAGCGATGATCGGAATAATCTCGGAAAACTATCGGGAAAACACATATAGGTAAGAATTGACATTTTGCGAGCATTTTAAAATTGTTTCTAAACAATTATTTAAATTGCTTGTAAATTTTCTTCTCAATTTCCATGAAACGCAAATTGCAAGACAATTACTGTGTCACACGTGTTACATTATGTAAAATATTTATCGTATCGAGTTCGTTGGAATTGAACGAAAGCTTAATGGAAACAAATGTCTCTTTGTTTCCAAGACAATAAATGTCATTGCGTCCAAAAGAAGAATTATTCGGTGCATTTCAGAAGTTATGGTTATTTTATGGTTAAGTTGCTACTGATAGACGGATAACGTAATCATCATCATTCATACTGATAACATTCGCGAGCGCATCGGAGTTCAACGTAGTATGAATGCCCAAATGAAGCGGGCTTACTGCTCGCTTGTAATTAAATCTTGCTGAACAATAAGCTATAAATAATCGAGTGTATCACGGCTGTTCGATACAAGCCTACTTTCGACGGGCGTGTTAGATCAGTGAACGATTAACAGTCAGAGAGATATATAAAATAAAACGCGTTAAAATCTGACGGAATATCGATAGTTGCAAAATAGTTGTATCACAGATAGCGTGAATAGTCCAACAACATTAAATGCGAATTTTGCTGTAAACGCAAAAAATTGTATTAATATCTAATATCTAATATAAACTTTAGATATGGTTGTAATAATTATTATCATTATTAATAGACTTACATTATTCCGCGAGAACATTCTAATTAAAATACATAATATATAACATAAAATATAATATATAACATAAATATTTAACATGTTAATCTTACGATTTTTTAATGACTAATGTACTCCGTTAAATTAGAAGAAGTTTTTAGTAATATCAGATATAAAACTTTCTGTTCACACACACGCTAGCATTGATGCGATCGCAAATGATATCAGTATGTAATGAAGAATATGATAAAATACTTTTCGCACATCAAACCAACACAGCTAATAATTAAAAGATTCGTTCAATTCAATCGAGTAGCTTAAAATTTAATTCGATTTCACGACCGTCGCAATGATGTTGCCGTAACAATGCCGATCTTATTCAACACGTGCGCAGCGATGTGTTATAATTTCTTTTTCAATTCGGTCCTCTCCTGCATTCTGCCACCCATCGAGAACAAATCGCGGCACACTGGGATGCCGAGGACGATTACGCAGAATCAAGTAGAAACGCGCCGAAACGAAACGAGTTAAGGGAGAACGAAAGAATCGGTACCGATTGCGAAATTCGAGGATCTCGCCAAGAGATTCCTCAAATGCGTGCAGCACGTATGTGCATAACACTCGTATACTTGATACGTACGTATATAGTTCCGTACGTGTATATATATATATTTTTTATATGTATATAATTTTTCGTATGTGTATGTGTATATATGTGTATGTGTGTGTGTGTATGTATTATGGAAGCGCCGAAGATACTCGCACGAGATTTTCGAAACTATTAAGACTCAGACGTATGCGGGAAATCGAGACGTACATATCGGACTCGCGTGGAAAAGATTCAGTTTGTTGTCATTCATTGAACGTCGCGCGTCGTGTCCATTTTCGTATTTTCAAAAAAATCTTCCCGGCGACTTTTTTCCGTTTGACTTGACAACGCATCGAGCCCAAGTAATGAAGATAGCACGCTCGTCATACCTCGTAGATTCTGTCACTGCAGAATCTAACGCGATAAGATACAGAAGATACGATCGTCTCTATTTGGCGACAAGTCCTGTCCCGTGAAGATATAAATGCCGTGAGTTTATTTATAGTTCTGTACCGTTGGGGAGAGAATCGTAGAGAAAATACGAAAGATGGAAAACGAGGGTGAATTTGTCTATTCTTTTTAGGCCCTCGTGCGTCCTCGCGTGAACGTCGACATCGAGCTTTGTACATTACCTTCGAGATCCGCGACTTCAGAAACGCCGGGATCACACTTTCATCGCGAATGTCGAAAGCCCAAGATAGAATCGTATCTCCTATAAAACGCCTCTCGTACGTTTCGGAAATAATTGCTCCGCTAAACGTGTCCCTCTTCTAGTTCCCCAAAAAATTAATACAGTCCTTATATCTCTGCGTACTAAGGGGAAAAAATCGGTGAGAATGTCAATGGTACATAAAAAAATATCCAAATACGCGCCGTCGAAATGAGATGCCGTGAATTAAATGTAAACGACGAAACGTACGAAAGGCGAGGTTTTATCTTATTCTAGCGTGGTACGTCAGCTAGGTGATCATGTGTTATGCGATATCCGCTAAAAGGTATTATATACACGCAATATAGTTACGGAGTAGCGTTCACATTTATCGTACAGATAGACAATATTAACCTGGATGTATTTCAAATTGCATACTCTGCTAAACAATTCCTATATTTATCCTAACCGCTAGGTTAACTAAAAATCTTAATTGTACTTCTTACCGTCTCATCTTACTTTGTTTGCTCGCTAACTTACATACTTAAAAAGTACTTAAAATTAATTTCTGTAGGCGTAGATATCTATGCATTAAACTCTCAAACACAAGTTCGCTTTCGTACACCAATCAACGTCATCGTAAAAAAAAAGTAGTAGTATTAATAGTAGTAATAATAGTAATAGTATCAGTAATAATGGTCAATTACAGGCGAAAGGATCCATACTAATCGATTAAAAATTGGTCTATGGGCCTACACTCGACGAGCGATAACGCTTGTACAATACACTCGGTGAAACCGTATACTCGCACAAAGAGAAGAAACACAAAAAAATACAATGCACATAATATATAGACGCGTGTAAACGAAAAAAAAGTAAAAGAAAAACTAAACGTTTGCAGCCCTTTTCTCCCCGCCGGTCGATCGATTGTTCAACCATTTCCGAAAGCCGATCGCTCCTCTCCTCGAAAAGGCACGAGAAATTGTAAATTCCAAGCCTCTTAGTCTCGTATCCGCAAGCTATAAGAAATCCGTGTGTCGTGTAGAAAAACTCCTACAAAGCATCGTACGCGAGAGGGTTAAAAGTGAAGTCGCGAAGAAAATCGCAAGACATCGGCCCGACGATGACTCGATAGAAAAACTCGTCCCGGTTTCCCTTCAGCCCTTGCGCGATTATCAGCGTTGAACGACGCTAATTATTGATCCAATAGGGAGATCGGTTGTGGTCGGCGACGCAACGGGAATGACAGTCGGGAGAAACCGCCGCTTTACTGAACAAAAACGGCATCTCCAGGTCGCCGTGTATCGCATTGACGAGTAAGTTAGAGAGGACGAGCGATCGTGGACTCGCTGCTTTTTCGGTCTACTAAATGTACCAACCGGCGCCATCGCTTTTACATCACGAACATTACATCTACTACGAAGGAACAAAAGGGTACTCTCTGGGGATATTTGGCACAGATTAAACGGAATTTTCAACTCGCGACACGAAAACACAGAAGAAAGGAGTCATACGCGCGCGCGGATTGAACTGACCGATCGCGAGTTCCGCTTCGCCGGTGCTTTTCTAACGTATGTCAAATATTAAACGTTGCAGCGGATGTATTTTGATTAACACCTTGTTGTTGTTCGATAGTTCCACTTTCTTCTAGTCGTTTCGCGCTTATCCAGTGGTAACCCCGTAATAAGTATCGAAAGAACATATACATACATATACATATATTTATATATATATGTATATACGCGTCGTTATATCTTAATATTTTTCCTCGCGTCGTCATCTCGTATTTTCATTTCCGTAACAATGTAAAAAAAGAACGTAAATATGTATATATATTTTATACTCTTTACAAATAATATATATGTATGTAATGTTGTATATATGTATATCATACAGCATACGCAGCCTTATGCTAGAAATATTACCGCGGTAGTAGTACTTGCTTTAAGTCCTAAAAATGTTCTACCTACTAAAACGGAAGGAGAAACGTCCACTTTGGGCCTCGTGACTTTCTCGCGAGAAAAGAGGATATTCCTCCAGAGGAGAAGGAGAGAGAGGGAGGGAGGGATTCTTCGAGATTCAAAGCGATCTCGTGGCGATCGTCGGAATTGATCAGCAGGAATCGTTAGTATTTACATGAGATAAAGCGCGATAACGTCGTTTCGTTTTGACAACTCGGCAATGAGGATCCTTTCGTCAAGCTTCGAAGTTAGCTCTGCCTTCACCTATAAACTAACGTCCGCGATTTAAAATCACTTTGTCCTTTATCTAAAAATCTTCCGATTGCATGCATTATCCTTCTTAACAGCCTTGTCGAGGCGAAGGCGAACGAAGCGCGTAGTAGGAACATATGTAAAATCCGATCCCTTCATGCATCTCGCAGGATATCTTCTGAGTTCTTCAGCGCAAAGGAAGAATGCACATGATATTCTATCCCGATCGTTATCACCTCTCCCATTTCTGCGAGCGCTCGATCTCTTGGGTCGGCTAAAAGGAATTCCTCATTTTCGAATGATAAATCACGATGATTTCGCGCGATGAAGCAGAATACATCGTCGTTTTGAATGCACCGTTCAGTGTACGGGACGTGGGGTGTTGCTGGATCACGAATGCTTCACCACGATCACGCCCGGCCGCTGCTGGGTCTGTTGTTGCGTATGAAATTGGAGGAAATGGTCGGCATGCAGTATCCGTTGTTTCACGGGTGTTGCCGTGGCAGATGTCGTCGAGGACGAGGAGGAAGAAGAGGAAGCGGACGTAGTGGTCGCAGACTTTGTTGACGTCGAGTTCGCCGCCGCCTGTTGCTGTTGTTGTTGCTGCTGCTGTTGCTTGTTGGTCAGTGCCAGTGGCATATCTTGCGCAGGTTCATCGCTGAATAGATGGTCGCCCTCCAGGTGACGTATCGCCTCGACGATCGTTTCCAGATTCTGTCGGGACGTGTTCGCGATGTATAACCTTGTCTGCGTACCGTCGTCCAGAGAGTTCGATGGGGAAGGCAACCTGTGTGATTGAGGAATTTTTCATTAGTGCAAAATCCAACCCACCCTACTCTTATTCGTGCGAGAAAATGCCATGTGACATTAGTGACTGTCATATTAGACAAATTAGATATTTAAAGTAAACTAGGTGTCATTTCAAGCGGACCAACTATTCACTTAGATCTTTTCTTACCCTCTACATTTTAAACAATAATTGAGATTGAATGGTCATATTTAAAGTAAAATAAATGTGTCACGTACCTCTCCACCTCGACTTTGGGTTCAGCTTTCATCGCGGCCTCTAGGACACTGGGTAGCCGTTGAGGCTCGGCGGCCGGTGAGAAGGACCTGGTGGGACTCGTGGTGATGTACTGAGGCGAGCCAGTCTTAAAATCTGCGGAGGACGAAGTGGCATACGTGACACGACTTGACGACGAATACGAGTCCGTAGTCGGTTCCTCCATCGCCGTGAACACCTGATTCTGGGTGAAGGTGACTTCTTTGATCTCTTCTTTGATCTCTTCCGTCACCATGTCGGTCGGCTGTGGCGACAAGGGTGGCGAACTCGGGTCCGGGCTGGACGTCTCCACGGTTTGATTGGAGCCCACCGGCGGCAGAGCCATGACCGATACCACCTGAAGCGAGGCCACTGCTTCTTCCGTTTCCTGTGCTAGCACGTTATCCGTGTGCTCGATCACCTAGGACAAGTAGCAATTCTCGTTAATTTTTTTTTTGTTTATTATCGTACACTTGCGAAACCTGTCCCTTCGCGATTTGTTCATTCGCAGCGAAGGCCAGATCGATTGTTTTGTACGCGGAACGCCGTCAGGTAAAAGGGGAAAAAAGAAAAAAGAAATCGATTCAATCGAAATAATAAAACGGTATACAACGTTGCCAGTGACCTGTTATCAGACGCAGCTATCTACGTGAGCAATTAAAACAATGTTTGCAATATCTTTCAACCGGGAAGCATTTAAATCCTCGAGGGTCGAACGAGTTTACGGTTGAATTATTTTCTGTATCGCGAACAGCGATCTCCCGGCAATCGAAATCGCTCGGACATGTTTTCATAGACTATGATATTTCAGTTAAGGCCTCTACATCATGCTTTTATAACGTTTTCTACAATCACAATTTTATACACAAAGTTCTATACTGCTGATCCAATTCCATTTACGTAACCGATTTTTCTTCTCTTAATATTTTATCGATTAATTTTTGCACAGTAGCGTCCACTTTTACTTCGCTTCTTAAAAAATTAACGAAAGCAATGCCAAAGAGAAACGTTACCTCGTGGGGCTGATAAGTGATTAGCTGATTGTCCCGGAATCTCTCTGGATACAACTGGGTCTGAATTGCTCTCATCTGTTTCTCTAAATGCAGTCTCGCGTGACGCTCCCTTTCTAGCTGTCGCTTGAGCTGCTCTACGTCGGGGTTCACAACGGAATGTTGTGGTACCTCTGTGGGCACTGTGATTACCGACAACGGCTCGGGGGACATGCTGCCCAAGCCCTCGTCGCCGCTTTCGCTGACGTGCATTGGTACACTAACGACAACACCTGAGAAAGCAGAAGAAGCCAAAATGAGAGAGAAATTAAATCACAATATCTTCCAGTAAATAGGCGCATCAGGGCAACGATCACGTAACTTTCCCTCTAGAGTGGAAACGTGAAGTGTGGAAATTTTCAGATAAACTCGTGATCATGTAACTCGACGAAATGTGGAAACGTGACTTCGTCAATAATAAAAGAATTTCACGCGGAATGGATAGAGCGAAAAGTGAAAAGTTTAACGTGAAATTGCGTGATCGATCCCCTGGGCTCAATTGATCAACGCTAAGAATGACCAAAACAAAGTAAAATTTATCAAAAATTCTTTTCGCATCTGTGATTGCCTTTACTTTTCAAACATCGCGACATTTACACAAAGTTATGGAGTTAGATAAATAGCTGCGCGTAAAAAACAATTTTCACGGCAAAACGACTCGATGTTTTTATGAAACTAATTTATGAGAAAGGCTCGTAAAATCGGATTACCGCGGCGAATAACCGCAATGAACTTTCGGAACGTATTTTAGATTTCCGGCGGACATGCAGTGTACAAATGAATACAACCCGTCCCGCGTGATATAAATGAATGCGAGATCGTGAGCGAAATTAAATCTGGCCACTATTTACGATATAGAGCAAATATAGAGACCGTTACACTTCGCGCGGATCAAAGGCCAGGCCATTTGTTTCAATGTTATATTAGAGCGAAGTGAATGTAACGTTTTCCTGTATGTCACTTCATTTGCACATTATTTGACATCGTAGAACATTACAGTGGATTACAACGCGGTAACGGTGCGGCAAATTGTGCATCGTTCTTGCAAACATTTTCAATCAACCAAACATTTATTAATTAATGTGATTTCCAACGGTAATTGTGATTATCGGCTATTGTTATCAGCGAGATCGCAATCGCGACCTCGGGCGCCGTTGGCGTTGGTTCTCATTTTTTCCCCAGCTTAATATGAATTTAAAAGAGATGTGTTGTTAAATTATTTTTAATGTTTTCAATTCGTTATACTGAGAAACCCATTTCGTTGAATCAACTAAATCCTTGTTTGGATATGGGCAAACAAATTCTTTAGTTAATATAACAATTTGGTTCACATAACAAAAAAATTTTAGTTTATGTTAAAAAATTTTTTGTTATGTGAACCAAATTTTTGTTATATTCAAACAAGGATTTAGTTGATTCAACGAAATGAGTTCTCAGCGTATATGGTTTTATGAGGAATATTAAAAATTAAATTCTCATTACACTATAACGTTCAATTATTTATTTCTCATTTTAAATACCTATGACCTATGACTTTAAGTGAGTCTCCTAATAATTTAAATAAAATGTGCATAGAATAAATATATCTTCTTTCTATATATCTCTACGTATCTTAATTTTTCATTGTTATGATTGTATTACAATTTTAAAGAAAATCCACAAACTCCATTTAAATAAATTTCCAAGACGAATTTTACCTCTGTTCTCCATACATTCGACTGTGAAACGTTATTTCATCAGGCAAATAATTATTGTAAATGTTGGGGATAACATTTGAAGGCAATCGGGAGGGTTAACCGCGATTGATCGATAAAAGTGGTTCGTCGGCATTAAATCCGCTTCGTCGCACAGCCGACGACGAACTTTCTGAATATCGCCGTGCCATCGAACGGAGGAAACTAATTTACGATAGAACCGGAAATTGAAATTGTCTCGGCCGAAGTTCGCGACAGATACTTTCCGACGGGCACACCGCCGCGACGGCGACGTCGCCGAAACGCCACCGGCGTCGAAACAGGAGAGTACCCTTAATTCGCCCCTTGTATTTAGCCCCTCGAAGTAATAAAGACTTTCGAGGATGATCCTGACGTTGCCGTTGCCTATCCGTTTCTCTGGACCCTTTACAATCCCCCGAAAGTTTAACCTTCCGGTCATATTACCTTCTCAATATCGATGCATGTGCAACGACACATCACAGATTTAATCATTATTTAGACAAAACAATTATTAAGACAAAAAGTTTCAATATTATATATACTTAGAAATACCAACTTAAATATTGAAGACACTTCTTCCCACTTACTTCGTTTTTCGATCAAGAAAGTAATAAAATATCGGAACCTCCTCCTAAGAGATCCTCCTTCACGTAGATAACAATTGAATTAAGTTTCACAAATCAAATTAAATTTCGTGGAAATTTTTCATTTATTATATAAGCGATACCATCACTTCGTTATATTACATTAAGCTTCCCTCCTGTAATATCCTATACATCCCTTCGGCGTGATACCGAGTCACGAAGAATGTAATTACTTTCGCGAAAATGACAAACGGCTCTCTCAAAATGCGTCCGCATTGACCACGTTGTCGACGCGAGATTAAAAAATTCTTGCTTGCAAAATTTGCCACTCTTGCCGCGAAATATCGTCACTGATGTATTGATTCGGTGATTATAAATGAATTAAAAAAAAAAAATAAATAAAAAAAATAGATTGCCGATTTTTGCACATATATCGTGACGACGCGCGGCCGAATTTACCATAAAAGTCAAAATCTATAAAGCCGTGTTTATTCGAAAATTCGACGTTATTTACTTATTTTCGGGCGGAAGTTTCGGAGATGTAACAATTCAATTTCGCAATTGAAAAATAACTTATAGAAACTTGGACGTGGCGCCGTATAAAAGCGGGAAAACCGTGAAATAAGCGGATTGCAATGTATATCCGCGCAACTTTTCGCGCTCTGCACCGATTGTTTTCGCTTTTTGCTTTTACGATCCCAAATTCACGCGGGACACTGCAATCGCGGTCGCACGAGCGATAAATAATTCAGGTCCATTTGGAAAATCTCGTTATGCGATGGACGATGAACGTTAATTCCATTGCTTTTTATGCGTACAAATATTTGCGCGCAAGCAATATGACCGTGATATTTTACTGACGCATTTTTGTATTATCGTTGTATTTTCACGGCATGCTTCACTTGAAACAAATTCTTTTATGAAGAACCTTTCTTATTGTAAGATTTTTTAACTTACGAAAAGAGAAATTATATTTTTTTCGCACAATATACATACAAAATATCATTATTTTTGTACAAAATATAGATTCATTTTAAAAGTCGACGAAGAATTACCTTGGGCTTGGGTATCGGGTTTGCGTTTCTTGATAGGTACATCACCTTCGTGTTGATTTATCAACCGTTTTAGTTGGCTATTTTGTGACAGCAGTTGTGTCTTCTCTTGCTCTAATTGGTATATGTATTCGGCAGTCTGTTGGAGTATCGCAGCCTGTAACACAAATAAAAAAAGAATTATTTCTTGCCTCATCGTAATAATTTTTCAATCGTTGAAAGCGTCGCAATCTCTTGCGTCAAAATACACGTAAAAGTAAATCATATCGGAAACTTATTTTCACGCTTGAAGTAAAACCACGAAATACACTGGCAATAATGAAAAGGCATCGAAATTTAATAAAAGTTGTCAAAGAATAACCGAGATTGGGGGACTCGAGTCCCCTTACGATAAATCCAGAGAGATCGCAGGTGCCCCCTACGCATCACATGCAACCTGCGCTGAAGGACCATCGATAGAGGGGAAGAGGAGGAGAACGGCGACTTCCTGTTTACCGTGCCACGAGCTTAAAGGGTTTTACGTGGTCAGGGTGAAAAAGAAGGGGACCACACCGTATGGGCCGATAACATGCGGCGGAGGCTATCGCGTGTCGTGCGTACTACGTCGTAGTAAAACGGGAATGACTTCGAGGAACAGACCGGCAAAAACAAAAGGGCCGATTGATACCAACTGCGCGGGGTAACGGGGCCGGGTGTACGGTTCGCACCTGCCGACAGGTGGTTAACGAACAGATGCCCCGCGTACGCCGCGATCGTATAAATGCACGAATGATGTCTGCCGCCGCGCCGCCTCGTCCTTTCTCCGAGCAGCCGGTCGGTCCTTCGTGTCACGTTCTTACATTGAAGGGAAACAGGAAAGAAAAGACAGTGGCTCGATTATCCCCCTCGGAGAGATGCTCTTTTTCGGCACTAATTGGACACCAGCCGCCCCGAGCAATCGAGCAATTGATACGCGCAACTTTTGACTTAACATACCTTTTCTCTCTTTACCTACCTTTATGTATATAATTTTATATAACATATCTTTTACGTCTTTAAAAAAATAATAAAAAAGTTACTTTAGAATACTTTAGATAACACGTAACTAAAATAAAAGAGCGAAAATATTAAACAACTTAATTTAGAAATTAAAAGTCCGTATTTTATCAATTTTCAATTAATGATAACTAAAGATAATAAATAGAGATAATACATTTTGTATACAAAAATATGAAAAAAGCTACGTGGATTAGTGGATTATGCGATAAATTAACTCATTTTGGAATTTTTATAGAATAAAAAGTACAATAAAAACATATGCTTCGATTAATTTATTTTAGTGAACTAAGAACAAAAATTTATCATAAGGTATGGCATATCCAGACGATCCAGACAGATCTTTACATCTTTATTAAAGTTTCTTCATTTTATCTACTTGAATATGCAAATAGTTGGAAACGATGGAAACGGATATGCAAATGCAGATGGAACGAATAATAGTCATTAAATGAAATATCACAAATAAGTTATTTTTAGTCGCTCGTTTCTACAAGCATGCTTAAAATGAAAGTTAATAACATCAGATCAGTGTATGTAACGCAGAAAAATTGCAAGTCTTGAATAATTTCACTCCGAACCTGAATACATCAAAGTAATTATCTAAATCACTATTTACTTGAAGATATAATTGCTTAAAAGTAAATTCAAAAACAATAATATCTTATTTTAAGCGATTATAACTTACTAGGCAACTTACGCCTAACTTATAAATATTTCTTTAAAAGATATAATCGGTTCATAAAGTATTTATATATCTTTCAATATAATCTAAACAATTCGAATCTATTTTTATCAGCTGTTGGCATAATTTTAAGCATCCCCTTAGAACTTAGAATCAAATGTCCGAGTTTGGTAGTTTAAGTATACACCTGCTCGACTTTCGCTTGTACATAGCGATTTAAAAATGGCCTCGTTTACATAAAAAGGTACAACGATCAAATAAGAGAAAAAAAGATTGCCGCCGAGAACGGAAAACGTTTAAATCGCAGGAAAGTGTGATATGGAGGACACATGCTTTGTAAAGTTAGATTAAAAATCGGAATTACGGAATCGCGTCTGCGATTAAATCTCGTAATAACAATTTGAAAAGTTTTATATAACAAAGATACGCGTCAGCGATAAAAAAGATAATCGATGGAGTTCATTCATACTCGCGGTATTAATTGCTTAAACGCGTTTTTCGAGTCGAGCCGCGGAAGGTCGAGAGCGTCACGGCCAACTTTTGCTTTCTCGGGAGCGGAATAAAAAGAATCTCATGGAACAGGTTGGCGTCGATTACCAGGCCGGAAGACCGTGGCTCTCGCACACGCAGTTTCTACGGTCTGCTCAGCCCAAGCTCCAATGCACGTGCCGAATTCTTGTTAGCCGAATCGCTCTGTAAAACCCGACGCAGGCCAAGGCCGCTCGCCAGCGGCGATGGCGGCGGCGATGATGGGGGACGATGTTATCCGCCAGGTAACGATTTATAGCGCACGGGACAACCTTCTCTTTCTCAAACAAGCCGCAAGTTTCGTCTCCTAGCTGCCTAATTTGTATTCGGAATAATAATTTTAACTTAGAGATGCATTAACAATAATTCTAATTCAGAAAATTTCCATATTGGAATTCGATTTTCTTTTATATTCATAACAATAATGACAATTAAATAAAAGAACTAAAAAGTAGAGCGCACAAATGGACTTTTAATTCGTTGATTATTGCGCTTCCAATCTCCGTCGTTAGGAAAAGTTTAGAGTACGACAGCTGCAGTCCCTCGCGTCTGAATGGGATGACAATACGCCGCGATCGATATAGGAGGTACAAGATGAGAAGGGCGAAATAATGCTGGCAGCTGGCGATCGAAAGAGAGGAAAATCCGCTGTAACGCGCGATCGCGTGCCTGAGTTCGTGACCCCACCTGCTGAACTCGTTTCCACGAAGCTCACAATTCCCCTCAAATAATCGACGAAGAGATGTTGCGTATTGTGAGCGCGAACGCGCCTTAGTTATCGCAAAAACATATTTTTCCACTGAACATAGAAGATATTGAGTGTATTTCCCTTTTTTTTCTTTTTTTAAATAAATTTTAATAAATTCTCAACTCAATCTTTTCGCTCTCTCAACTTGTTTTTGCAGTTGTGCTCCAAAAACAGTCAGATTATTGATTTTCTTTCTTAAATGTAAAAATTCGGCATTTTGAGCGTACGAGGATTAACGCAAACGGTAACGCTAAGCGTCATATGATTTCTTTTCGTGTAAAAAGTGACCTAAGAAACTCTTGAAAAGACGCGCTTCTACGCCGTTGTCGTTGCACGCAACACAAGCCGTGGCATTCTATGACTGGTCACTACTACTACGTGTGCAGCCTCCTCCTCTCTCGCCCTTCCGCACACCTTTGCGCTCGCTCCCTTTCACACTTTCTCCCTCTTCCTCGCTCCCTCCAAGGGCTCGACTCTCCACGTCGAGCCTTTCCTTCTTCGGCCTGCGAGAACTTTCCCGTAGAGTCTCTCCGCCGCCATGGCGATGGAATCGAAATCGCTTTCTTCTTGTTGCAGCGGCGGCGGCGGCATTCCAAAACACGAACGCGCCGATCATGAGAAAGAGAGAGAAAAAGAGAAAGAGAAAAAGAGAGAGATAGGAGAGAAGGAAAGAGAGACCCTACCGAACTCGCCCTCATTCGGCTGCACTCGCGCGATCGTTTGCAATTCTGCGCGCAAATCCAACAGGAATTCCCCGCTCTCTATCATGGTTGCCCTACACGCTCTATTGTTCCCGTTTGCACCGGGAATCCTTCTTCTCTATCGTCGTTCCCGATTACAAATTGCCACCGTGGTAGCAGATCAATAAACGAGATCAGAAGGTACGATAATCAGTAATCACATAAGGTGCCATATCGTTTGAATAATTAACGCATTGCTAGAATTTTTTTGCGTTACAGCGATAATTCTGGTATCCACACGAAAAGTTCAGTGAAAGACTCGTAATTAAAATTTTCATTATATATTATTACATTTTTCGTCTGTATAATTTTCCTCTGTTAGTAGTAATCTGCTCGAATAAAAATTTCTCGCAATTTTTATATTATGTCCGACGGTAACAAAAGTTAAATAACTGTATTAACCGTAGAATTAATAATAATTCTATTTAAATCCAACTCATAAGCGCACTTAACTTGTTTCCTTTCGCAGGACGACGCGGTCCGGATTGTCGTAATTAATTGCTGTTATCGCGCCGTACATTCTACGCGCTTAATTACATAATATGCACGAACGAAAATTTTCGAGCAGGCGGAACGGCGCCAATGATTCACCGTGCAAAACGCCGCGCCACGACGCCCGCCGTTATTATTATATCGTAATTACCCTGCTTATAAAAGCGGCAAGCTCGCTCGGCAAACGCGTTCTCGGCTGGCGTGGCAAAAACACGGAGAGGAGGCGCATGAAATTAACATTCCGCAAAGTAATTTGGTAAATAATTAGTTATCAATTTCCGCAAAAGAGCATCTCTCACTTAATTTAGCTGTAGCTGATGGTTTAACTAAGTTCTCCTGCACTTCACTTCCGCGATCGTGTAAGAAATAAAGAGAGAATTTTAAATAATTCAATCACATAATCAAGATTCTAGAATATATTTTAATAATAAAATCTCTGACATATCTCAATAATAAAACCTTGCATAGAAGTATATAAAAAAAATCTTGATCGTTCATTAGAATTTCTTTGTTACATTTATTTCTTATACCGCATGGAAATCATCTTTCTCTGTTACTATTTAAAATAAATTACTATACTCCACTTATTTTTCCCCGCCTCTTCCTTGTCGTTTCATGATTCATTTTTTTGTCCGAATGTCGCAATACGCGATTATGTATTTCGCCGAGAGAACCAAATGTGAGGATACGCGCGGCCTAATTAGGATTCTCGGCGAATGAGGTAACGAGGAAGCGAGGTCAGGCCGGTACTTTATACAAGGAAGATAAAAAGGCGGCCCCGTATAGGCTGCGCGGTCGTTTTCGAAGCGCCTTCCTGGAAGGAAACCCTTTGTGGCCATGCGCCGTATATGCTAAGTAAGCGGCTCCGACCGCGTCCCAAGACGAAACCAGAGATGCCAGAAATTCGAACCGGGGCCCCACGATGGCGC